AAATTTAAATATGTTGTGATTATGAAGTAAAAAGTTAATGAAATAAACATTATTAAATCTATTATCATTTTTTTAAGTAATAGTTTAAAACAAGAATTAAATTAACGTATGCAATATTGGGGCAAAACAAAATAGTAAAATACTTCTCTAGATTTTTTTAATATTGAAAAAGTAATAAAAATAAATAACTTCAACTTAATTTAAAAGAAATTTAAATAGATAAAAAATAATAAACGTTACTTTTACTGTGAGTCACTGGACGAGCTACTACTGGAATCTGTAGACATGACCTCCACATCCTCAGTTTCCTGTTTGTGATTACGAGTTTCCACTGGCACACTACCTTGGCCCCCCACACTCATATGTATCTCTCCAGACGGGAGCCAAGCAAACTGATTTTGTTGAGATGCAGGAATGTCTGGAAAAATCATAGTAATATAGTTAATTGTATGGATTATTTTAATAATTAACAGTTCTTATTAATTAATTACCCCCTGTAGCTGGTCCCCCAAGTCTGTGCAAATCTGATATATTATTAGGTTGTTGTAGAAGATGGCCATTAATAGGATCACTTAATCTACCCAAAAATCCAAGTCTCATCTCAATATCTGTAGGATAAGGTCTTCTAGGATCTCCCTGTTGCCATGTGAGTGGGGCACAAACAGCATTAGAGGCACTAATTCGATGTGCAAACTTAATAAGCTCCTCTGAAGACACCGGTCTCTTATTTGCTCTATGTATTGACTGAAGTTTTTGATTTGCTTGATAAATTGCTGTAGAAAGTATTTGCTCAGCTTCTTTAAGTTTTGTTTGTAACTGATTTATGTCTTTATCTCGTCGTTCAACTTCCAATCTTAGTACATCCATTTTTTCTTCAATGTCAGCTTGTTTCTGAGCTAATTTTAAAGTCTGCTTTAACTCTTCGTCTTTTGCAACAAGAAGCTCGGTTAACTGGGCATATTCGGGACCAGAAAGCTTTAAATGCTTGGGAGCAATTGCATTTTCAATAAGTTCTCTAAATAAAATTTAAGGTTAGGAAATGTAAACATGTTAAATTATTTTTAATTACTTACTTTGCTATTAACTCCATGTCGTCCAAAATGTAAAGTAACTTTTCTTTTGTACTTATTTGGGAAGACATTTCAGTTATTTTAGTATTTATAATAACAACAGTACATTTACAAAACAAATTTGAAGTTAAATCAATTTTGACATAAGAAACGTCACCCATAGATCATTAAAAATAATAGGAGTTAACCATAGAAAATCAATAACAAATGTATATACAGGGTGTTTTTCTTAGTTTGCCAAAATTTTACATTTGTCTTAGTTTTTGAACACTAAATTAAACTTTTTTCTCAAAACACAAATAAATTCATTGTAACTATATTAAATACGGTATAACAGGTTTTCAGAAAGAAAACTTGACTTAAATTATTTGTCTAAAGTATTACATAATGAATAATAAATTGTTATGTATATAAAAACATAATAAAAACACAACAAAAGTTGTAACTACGGGTGAGTTAACTCTGAAGCTACCATATATTTACTACTAAAAGAAATTTTTAAATATAATTTGTTTTATTACCACATACAACTTGCACTTGAAATAAGATGTTTGTAGCTTCAAAGGCAGATCACCCATGTTTTTGGCATTAAAACAGGGTTTTAAATGAAACACTCTGTATAAATCTCATTTATATTCAATTACTACTAAATGTATGCCGAACAGGACATTATTTGCAAGTGTGCTCGAACTAATATGAAATTCTCAGTTATCTAGTCAAAACGACTGATTAACACCACCGCCTACCGCAGAAGGGGTGCGGTTCATTTCAAATTAAATAAGACAATTCAATGCACACATGCAACGCGGGTGTGATGGGAAGGAACGAAATAGAATAACAGCAGTTCGTTACTGTGTTTCATATTAGGTGTCTCCAAGAAACAAAAGGAGAAAAACCCGCGCACCAAATAAATTAGTACACAGACAGACAAACACAAACATCACACCTGTACAATCACCACGAAGAATGAGAATGGGGGGCGGGGAAAAAGGACCAAACAAATTTGGCAATCCTTTTTTCATTCTTATTTCCTTTGTTTGCACATTACAATATATATTATATATACGATATTTATTTTGTCTCTTTTTTTGTATTAGATACATTGCAATGATATATGTACTTAACTTTTTTGACTGAGGAAATAGATAAAACGCGGAAGTGTCCTATCATACATATACTTACATGCAACGAGCGTACGAGAAAAAAGGAAAAATTACCACGACAGTAAGTAGTACTTGTTATGTTAATAAAAGTCTTCTTACTTTGCCTAAAATTACATAATACTAATTTTACATTTATATTTTTCAATAAGTTATTACATTTTTTGCATTTTTTCCTCCTGCTTTTTGATAATCATTATCATCAACAGTTCCCAATAAACACTAAATAATTATTAATTATTCGACGTGTATCATAATCAATCATTATTATAATTATTATAATCACCATCTTCGTCTCGTGACCACTTAAATTCTACTAAGAGGCGTCCTCGCCTTCAACATCCAGAAGCGCTACAACACTTTTTTTCTAATCAATATATCAATAACCATATTATTCATATATAAAATAACACTAAAAATATACAAGGCAGTAGACAAGTGTTAGAGAACGACGGAGTGGCCCTCGCTGCTTTCGGCTTGTTTATAATTTTTCCCCATCCTTCTTTTTCATTTTGATAATTAATTTTTTTCCTCTTAAACATTAATACGAACGAACGTTCTTCTTTATTACTATGTTTCGATTAATTTTCCTACGAGTGCTCCTCTCCTTATAAAAAGATAAACGAACGAAATGAACAAAAAAAAATTGCATCGTTCCACATTTTTGAAACATTTACTAAGACGCGCACGCGCACTGAGACACGCGCGTCCTCTGTGCGTAATGGCCCAGGAACAAGTGCGAAACCCAAAACACGAAACAAACAAAAAGGACAAGATAAACGTTGAAACTTAACCTCCATTTAAACACTACTGCTAGTACTGTTTGGCTAACGATAATTACTCTTTTTTGTTTCGTTTTCTTTTATCTTTTTTTTTATCTATTCTTTGACGACGGTGTTCACGGTCTCCTCGTTTTTAGTCGCACCGACAACAACCGTCTGGTCCTTGGTCGCGTCGCCGACGACAGCAACTCCGCCGCCCCCTCCGGCATTGATCGTCGGCGACTTGTTGACCATCGTCGAGGAGTTTGACGTTGCCGAGTTGTTGGTAGCCGCCTCGGTTAGTTTCTCGTCCATCTTGTCGTGCTGCGCGTTGCCCAGGTTCGAACCTGCAAGCCAATCATTCAGTTTCCTAATAAAACCGATTCGAGCTCGTCTCTAGCGGCCCCAGCACCTTCGAAAATCACAAGAGAAAAAAAAGCACTAACTACAATATTCTTTACCGAAAAGATGCACCTAATCGGAGAATTTGTCAGGACACGTCATTAGAACGTGAAAAATAAAACTTTAATGTGTACAACTTTCAATTGGTATTGAAGACAGGATTATGATAAAAAGAAATGACGATAAAAAAATCGCGTTACTTTTATTATAAGTAATTGTTTAAAAATGAAAAGGCTTGATTTACTGAGATTATTAGGATAAATAAATGAGCACATCNAGACTAGTTATTATAAAAAAAGCATATAAAAATATTTCTTGCTGTTACAGTTAGTATTTTTGTGACGATGGTTATCAAAACGTTGCGCCAATATATACATAAATGAATTACCGTGATATCAGAATAAAAACTTTGGAAAAATTGCAATAAAAAATGCAGCACATGTATATTGTTAGCAGAGGGCAGTACAAGAATTTAAAATGTCGTGTGTTACACATATTTGGCATTTTTAAAGTCGCTTAAATTCTCTCTTTTTTTGTTTTGTGTTACCTGTTGACAATTAATTAGTATGGTTAACTAGGATAAGTACTACTTCTACAATATAAAAAATTGGATAACATAAACTATCCCCATCATCTGTGATAATAGTCGTAGTCGTAGAAATGTCTCCAAAACTTTTTCCTGTCTTGCTCATTTCTTACAGCAGGCGTAGGAGAAATAAGTATTTCCTCAGCTTCTTTATTGGCACCGGCAACGTTTGGTTTTTTTGGTTTTACAGGATGTTCTTTATTAGTTTTCTTTTTATGGTGTTCTTCATTTTCATTGTTCTCTGCATCCGAGTAATCGTCCCTCGAGTTATCATTCGTTCCCCTTTTGATTTTCTTATTCTTATCTTCTATGTTATAATTTTCCTTCAAGTCCTCTTTAATTTTACTCAGAACTTTTTTTATGTCGTCCTTTATGTCGTCTAATTTATGTTCCACATTTTCCTTTATATTTTCAAAAGCTTTTTCAAGTTCTCCAGCATTAAGTCCAAATACCTCGTCATTTGCTACGTTACCAACAAGTTTCGGCTTTCTGTCACACTTCTTCTTTTTACGTTTTCGTTCGCCACTTCGATCTTCCAAAGTGCAAATACAGCTATTACCTGTTCGTTCGCAGAAGGGTTTGTAGTGTTTCGTTGCTTCCCTGAGACGAGTTAGAAAATCAGGCATGGCCCTCATTGCCACCCACGAATTAATGCTGTTGGGGATGTTAACTCCAGGGTTATCGAAGTAAGTTAGGACGAATTCGATACCAGGCTTGTCTAGTTCGGTGTATGGTTTAACAACCATTGCAGAAAAATAGTCTGTCACCCTATATTTATCCTTTTGAACTGGACACGAAGGGTGTGTTGTACTTTGGCTAATTATGACGATTATCTTTTTGTCGCAATCCACTGTAAAACGACGGTTGAACACATAGTCACGATTGGTGAAGAATTTCTGAAAAGAAAAAGAAAAGCTTCAAATAATAATCATTATATAAATAAACGTTAAAATTAACATTTTTTTTTCTTAAAACATAATAGTGAATGTACAAGTAGTAAATAATGTATTAAATAATATGAAATTTGAACTTTTCATACATCAAGTTAATATTTTTTAAATACAGTAAATTCGATTATAATGAGTAATTTTTGAATAGTTAGTGCAATAGATAACATGGTGAAAATAAAATTAACATTATATATTTCTTTAACTTACTAAAACTAATTATTCAAATTAAATCTCCTTGCCTTATTCTATAAAAACCATTAACAATGTATTGAATGCAAAAAAGGAGAAAGAAAAAAAAATGCAGGGTATTTGAGTGTAATTTTACTTTACAGAGTCCTTGCTGTGTTGCTATAAAGTTAATTTGTTTTGCATGGTTTGGATTATTTCCAAATATTATCCTACTAAAAATAGTGTTTACCTTTGTGCTAAAGTAAACATATTATTGCATACAACATAGAAATAAAAAAAATAGAAAGCATTACATACTGGCCATTGCATTTCCCAGTAAATGATGTCACTATTCGACTCTGTATTTGGATCAGCCTCTACTATATCTAGTTGAATTGCTGTATTGTCCCATTCTTTGCGGTATTTTGTATCTATCTGTACATTAAGAAAATCTTCACCTGATACATCATGATAAGACCCATAGACTTTGTATTCAAAATTGCCAGAAGAATGGGGCCTTCTCCATACTATCATATCCTGTTTCTCGATGAATACAGACCACTCGTCGTAAGTCTGACGATCTTTACCTGCACAATGAGAAACATTTATATAACCAACATTATTACTATCTACTTTCCTTTCAGTACATGTAGAACATGATATGGTCTTGGATTTTAGCAAATATGCATAATTAAATGCATCAAAATGCTTGACCATTTCTTCATCTTTGATACGATTGGTGTTCCAGTCATACACAGAAGCCCCAACTACAGCTAGCATGACATCCTTTCTGTTCTTGAAAAGTTGTAATTTCAGTTGCCTCAAAAGTTCCTTTAAATTTTTTTCGTTCCAAAAACGATAGTAAATACAAATTAGCTGGTGTCCTTTCCTGATACGAAATGCCAAGATGTATTCCCACTGGCTAACCCATGTTTTGAACAGTCTTATCGAATGGCTACTAAAATTACTCAATTTCAACGAGTCCTTTAGCGACTTCGAAATCGTTTCATTGCTCAACGTTGCTTTTGCCCTGGTACGAAGATTTTTTACGTAAGAAGCCAATAAATTATTCGGAAAAAGCTTCCCAAAAATCATTTTGTTTCACAACACTTTGTAGGTTAAAAACTTCACAAGTTACATAAGATGTTTTAAATATTGGAGCCCTAAAATTGAATTACAATTTCTTTATATAATTTTTACATCTTTTCTAGAATTTAAAAAATTTATAACAAACACAGCATGCTTTTTGGCCAAAAATTTTTGACATTGTCGTTTTCAAAATTAACAAACATAGAGTTTTCCATAGAAATTTTAAAAGTAGTTCCAAGTGATAACTGCGTTAGATGAACTAAAATTTTGTAGATCAAATGAACTGACAGTTGAGGGATATCTATGAGTAAAATTGACATAACCTTGCTAAAACAACAATTTTAAGTAGATAATTTTTAGTAAATTATCATAAATAATCACAAAAGGCACTACTATTTTTATAAAATGGATAATTACTATTCCATAAACGAAGATATTTTACTACAATGTCCCCCAATTTTGCGAGATAACATAAGCTACATGGGAAGTAGTGACAAGATTGGTAAGCAATTTTTAATAAAATATACATTATCTACTTTAAAAACAAAGTTGAAATCTTACAGGTTTATTTCCAATAAACATTAAAATTCAACCTTTAGATAATAAAATGTATCAGGAAGATCAAAAATTAAATTACAAGGATTACTTTAAAGTTGACATACCTTATGCAGGAAAGACCCTAACATGGGAAATGATATTTAATAATGAAGATTATGAATTTGCTCCAGACTTTGCATTTGATGACCAAAAGTTTTTAAACGATCCAGATATAGATGTTATTGAAAAATATCTTCCCAGTTTAGCAAATTGGGATGTTAAAAGATGCCAATCATTGGCAAATGTTATTAAGGAATTGATTACATTATTTAAGAGTCATCAGGTAAGTATTTACCTGATAAACAGAAAATAGCATAGTTCTGCTATGTAATATACTTTAGATTTATAGCTTAAAAGATGAGAAATTTACTAAAGTGTATGCTGAATATGAGAATCTCTCTACTATTGAAATTAAAGAGGATGATTTAGAAGTTTTAATAGAATACCCGGCTGGTTCTGTACGATTTCTTTTCAATATTAGCCTTAAGAATTATGATAGTTTACCAGCATGCTTTCGAAGGTAAGAAATAATCCTCACTTTTTATGATTTTAAAAACCAATTTTTTGTTTTACACATTTTGTTTTTGGTATTTTCAGTGAAAACTTAGAAGATATAAAAAAGAAACTAAATCCAGGAGACGTCCAAGCACTATTGAGCGTTATATTTTTGAAACCTGACTGCTCGAAGGTGCAAACAACACTACACTTGTCTCCAGCAATGGAACAAGTTGTTGGAAGCACATCAACATTGCATATACCCGTTTACGGAAAAAAGACTGATCTGGCGGAATATATAACGACTATTAGGAAGATACTGGATGAAAAATTAGAGCAGATTTCAAATCAATTCAAATTAAAGAACGAATACATTAGCGCCGTCTTATCGCTACATCGATACAGTGTATTGGAATATGATAGTCGTTGTTTTAATTTTATCATTATACTGCTTCAAGTAGACGAAATGTATGCACTAGTTCATATTACAATAGGTGAGAAAAAATATGTAAGACAAGGACTTTTCAATTATATGTTTGATGTGATGATTCAAAAAGTGAAATTTTCAATGTTGCAGGAAATGAATTTCCAAAGGAAAAACCGAAAGTTACTTTGAGATCTGTCTGTAAAATGATGATGAATAAACCTTTCGCGATGGAATTGGACGATTATCCTTATAGTCCACGATGGGAACCGAAAGAAATGGTCACAAGACTCATGACAAGACTCCCTGAAGCAATTCCTGAATTCATAAACAGACACAACACTAGATAAACGCAACGCAGTTTTCATCAATTTCAAAAGTATTTTCTGCCTCTTAAGTTCTTACGGATTTTATATAAATTTAAATATGTTGTGATTAAGAAGTAAAAAGTTAATGAAATAAACATTATTAAATCTATTATCATTTTTTTAAGTAATAGTTTAAAACAAGAATTAAATTAACGTATGCAATATTGGGGCAAAACAAAATAGTAAAATACTTCTCTAGATTTTTTTAATATTGAAAAAGTAATAAAAATAAATAACTTCAACTTAATTTAAAAGAAATTTAAATAGATAAAAAATAATAAACGTTACTTTTACTGTGAGTCACTGGACGAGCTACTACTGGAATCTGTAGACATGACCTCCACATCCTCAGTTTCCTGTTTGTGATTACGAGTTTCCACTGGCACACTACCTTGGCCCCCCACACTCATATGTATCTCTCCAGACGGGAGCCAAGCAAACTGATTTTGTTGAGATGCAGGAATGTCTGGAAAAATCATAGTAATATAGTTAATTGTATGGATTATTTTAATAATTAACAGTTCTTATTAATTAATTACCCCCTGTAGCTGGTCCCCCAAGTCTGTGCAAATCTGATATATTATTAGGTTGTTGTAGAAGATGGCCATTAATAGGATCACTTAATCTACCCAAAAATCCAAGTCTCATCTCAATATCTGTAGGATAAGGTCTTCTAGGATCTCCCTGTTGCCATGTGAGTGGGGCACAAACAGCATTAGAGGCACTAATTCGATGTGCAAACTTAATAAGCTCCTCTGAAGACACCGGTCTCTTATTTGCTCTATGTATTGACTGAAGTTTTTGATTTGCTTGATAAATTGCTGTAGAAAGTATTTGCTCAGCTTCTTTAAGTTTTGTTTGTAACTGATTTATGTCTTTATCTCGTCGTTCAACTTCCAATCTTAGTACATCCATTTTTTCTTCAATGTCAGCTTGTTTCTGAGCTAATTTTAAAGTCTGCTTTAACTCTTCGTCTTTTGCAACAAGAAGCTCGGTTAACTGGGCATATTCGGGACCAGAAAGCTTTAAATGCTTGGGAGCAATTGCATTTTCAATAAGTTCTCTAAATAAAATTTAAGGTTAGGAAATGTAAACATGTTAAATTATTTTTAATTACTTACTTTGCTATTAACTCCATGTCGTCCAAAATGTAAAGTAACTTTTCTTTTGTACTTATTTGGGAAGACATTTCAGTTATTTTAGTATTTATAATAACAACAGTACATTTACAAAACAAATTTGAAGTTAAATCAATTTTGACATAAGAAACGTCACCCATAGATCATTAAAAATAATAGGAGTTAACCATAGAAAATCAATAACAAATGTATATACAGGGTGTTTTTCTTAGTTTGCCAAAATTTTACATTTGTCTTAGTTTTTGAACACTAAATTAAACTTTTTTCTCAAAACACAAATAAATTCATTGTAACTATATTAAATACGGTATAACAGGTTTTCAGAAAGAAAACTTGACTTAAATTATTTGTCTAAAGTATTACATAATGAATAATAAATTGTTATGTATATAAAAACATAATAAAAACACAACAAAAGTTGTAACTACGGGTGAGTTAACTCTGAAGCTACCATATATTTACTACTAAAAGAAATTTTTAAATATAATTTGTTTTATTACCACATACAACTTGCACTTGAAATAAGATGTTTGTAGCTTCAAAGGCAGATCACCCATGTTTTTGGCATTAAAACAGGGTTTTAAATGAAACACTCTGTATAAATCTCATTTATATTCAATTACTACTAAATGTATGCCGAACAGGACATTATTTGCAAGTGTGCTCGAACTAATATGAAATTCTCAGTTATCTAGTCAAAACGACTGATTAACACCACCGCCTACCGCAGAAGGGGTGCGGTTCATTTCAAATTAAATAAGACAATTCAATGCACACATGCAACGCGGGTGTGATGGGAAGGAACGAAATAGAATAACAGCAGTTCGTTACTGTGTTTCATATTAGGTGTCTCCAAGAAACAAAAGGAGAAAAACCCGCGCACCAAATAAATTAGTACACAGACAGACAAACACAAACATCACACCTGTACAATCACCACGAAGAATGAGAATGGGGGGCGGGGAAAAAGGACCAAACAAATTTGGCAATCCTTTTTTCATTCTTATTTCCTTTGTTTGCACATTACAATATATATTATATATACGATATTTATTTTGTCTCTTTTTTTGTATTAGATACATTGCAATGATATATGTACTTAACTTTTTTGACTGAGGAAATAGATAAAACGCGGAAGTGTCCTATCATACATATACTTACATGCAACGAGCGTACGAGAAAAAAGGAAAAATTACCACGACAGTAAGTAGTACTTGTTATGTTAATAAAAGTCTTCTTACTTTGCCTAAAATTACATAATACTAATTTTACATTTATATTTTTCAATAAGTTATTACATTTTTTGCATTTTTTCCTCCTGCTTTTTGATAATCATTATCATCAACAGTTCCCAATAAACACTAAATAATTATTAATTATTCGACGTGTATCATAATCAATCATTATTATAATTATTATAATCACCATCTTCGTCTCGTGACCACTTAAATTCTACTAAGAGGCGTCCTCGCCTTCAACATCCAGAAGCGCTACAACACTTTTTTTCTAATCAATATATCAATAACCATATTATTCATATATAAAATAACACTAAAAATATACAAGGCAGTAGACAAGTGTTAGAGAACGACGGAGTGGCCCTCGCTGCTTTCGGCTTGTTTATAATTTTTCCCCATCCTTCTTTTTCATTTTGATAATTAATTTTTTTCCTCTTAAACATTAATACGAACGAACGTTCTTCTTTATTACTATGTTTCGATTAATTTTCCTACGAGTGCTCCTCTCCTTATAAAAAGATAAACGAACGAAATGAACAAAAAAAAATTGCATCGTTCCACATTTTTGAAACATTTACTAAGACGCGCACGCGCACTGAGACACGCGCGTCCTCTGTGCGTAATGGCCCAGGAACAAGTGCGAAACCCAAAACACGAAACAAACAAAAAGGACAAGATAAACGTTGAAACTTAACCTCCATTTAAACACTACTGCTAGTACTGTTTGGCTAACGATAATTACTCTTTTTTGTTTCGTTTTCTTTTATCTTTTTTTTTATCTATTCTTTGACGACGGTGTTCACGGTCTCCTCGTTTTTAGTCGCACCGACAACAACCGTCTGGTCCTTGGTCGCGTCGCCGACGACAGCAACTCCGCCGCCCCCTCCGGCATTGATCGTCGGCGACTTGTTGACCATCGTCGAGGAGTTTGACGTTGCCGAGTTGTTGGTAGCCGCCTCGGTTAGTTTCTCGTCCATCTTGTCGTGCTGCGCGTTGCCCAGGTTCGAACCTGCAAGCCAATCATTCAGTTTCCTAATAAAACCGATTCGAGCTCGTCTCTAGCGGCCCCAGCACCTTCGAAAATCACAAGAGAAAAAAAAGCACTAACTACAATATTCTTTACCGAAAAGATGCACCTAATCGGAGAATTTGTCAGGACACGTCATTAGAACGTGAAAAATAAAACTTTAATGTGTACAACTTTCAATTGGTATTGAAGACAGGATTATGATAAAAAGAAATGACGATAAAAAAATCGCGTTACTTTTATTATAAGTAATTGTTTAAAAATGAAAAGGCTTGATTTACTGAGATTATTAGGATAAATAAATGAGCACATCAAAATAATAAAAATCTGAAACTTTCTGAAATTTAGTATTTTGGTAACATATACGCATGTATTTACCCTGAAAATGTCGTAGGTCGATTCAATGTTATCACCCCAAAGCCTTTGTATATTAATTCTTCTAATAAGAACAGAAAATTAAAAATAAGAAAATGTTTGGATAGTGCATACCTTGAGATCCATAGTAGTGTCTCATTTTCTGGTTTTGATTACTGCTCTTGTGCTTAGGGTTGTTGTTGGTGGGCCCGTTACTGGTCGGCTGTACTGAACCCATAGATGACTGAAAATTCATGGGTCTCTGAATTGGTGTCGGATATCTTTGCATCTACGAAAATTATAGTAAACATTAGTTTACACAACACAGCTTATACTACAATACATATTATAAAATAAAATGATACATACCTGTGCTATTTGCTGTGTGTTGACACTCTGATATAGATTGTATTTGTGTTGAGCAGTGGGACTTGACTGAGGCACAGGCTGTTTCGGATTCTGTTTCGATTTTGGAGACGGGATTTGAGGACCTATATAAAAATAATGAAAATAAAAATAATACTAAGTTGATTATAAAATAAGCAAAACTGACCAGAATTAAAGACTGATGAAAGTACGTCTTGTTGACTCGCGGGACTTTTCAGTTGTCTGGTGCCCTGGTCCCCGACATGCTGCCCAGTCATGCTTTTAATGTATGGGGTCGTGTTAGGCAAGTTCTGGGATCTGTACTGTTGCGCATTCAACGCTGCTGCCGCGGCCAATTGCATGGGGGAGGAGAGAAAGTGCGAACCAAAATTCTGAAGTCCGGCACTTGTGTGAGATTGATTTGGGTTACCAAATATGTTGCCCTGTATCCCGTAACCTGCTGCCTGATGCTGCTGCAACGGACCAGATTGAAGGGCGGAACTCGCCGGCTGCTGGAAGTAACCAGCAGTTTGGCCTCCTGGATAAAAAATAACATAAAACAGAAAAATTATATTTAAAATGTTTCAACTTCTTTAGTAGTAGTGTTTAAACATTTTCTTTCAATATTGCCAATTAAGAATGACTTTAATATTCCATTTTATAGAATAATTAAAAATTAAAAAAAAAAAAACACCACTTCCAATCTCTACTACATTCCCGATTAGAAAAAATAAAGAATAAAACTACCAACAATATATCCTACTATTTATTTCTATAGCATAAATGTTTGGTACATCATATAATAATATGAAAAAACATTTTTCTTTTTGGTATGTTGCTACTAGAATTAATTTCAGTAGAAGGGAAGTAATCTAAATTGTGATAAACATCAGCAGTAGAAGTTACTTAAGTAACCATTTAAGAACAATCACCTTCTATTCAAATTAACCATAAAAAATATTTATAAATAATTAATAGCGCCATTTCAAAACCTAAAATATTTATTAGTNTTTCTAGAATTTAAAAAATTTATAACAAACACAGCATGCTTTTTGGCCAAAAATTTTTGACATTGTCGTTTTCAAAATTAACAAACATAGAGTTTTCCATAGAAATTTTAAAAGTAGTTCCAAGTGATAACTGCGTTAGATGAACTAAAATTTTGTAGATCAAATGAACTGACAGTTGAGGGATATCTATGAGTAAAATTGACATAACCTTGCTAAAACAACAATTTTAAGTAGATAATTTTTAGTAAATTATCATAAATAATCACAAAAGGCACTACTATTTTTATAAAATGGATAATTACTATTCCATAAACGAAGATATTTTACTACAATGTCCCCCAATTTTGCGAGATAACATAAGCTACATGGGAAGTAGTGACAAGATTGGTAAGCAATTTTTAATAAAATATACATTATCTACTTTAAAAACAAAGTTGAAATCTTACAGGTTTATTTCCAATAAACATTAAAATTCAACCTTTAGATAATAAAATGTATCAGGAAGATCAAAAATTAAATTACAAGGATTACTTTAAAGTTGACATACCTTATGCAGGAAAGACCCTAACATGGGAAATGATATTTAATAATGAAGATTATGAATTTGCTCCAGACTTTGCATTTGATGACCAAAAGTTTTTAAACGATCCAGATATAGATGTTATTGAAAAATATCTTCCCAGTTTAGCAAATTGGGATGTTAAAAGATGCCAATCATTGGCAAATGTTATTAAGGAATTGATTACATTATTTAAGAGTCATCAGGTAAGTATTTACCTGATAAACAGAAAATAGCATAGTTCTGCTATGTAATATACTTTAGATTTATAGCTTAAAAGATGAGAAATTTACTAAAGTGTATGCTGAATATGAGAATCTCTCTACTATTGAAATTAAAGAGGATGATTTAGAAGTTTTAATAGAATACCCGGCTGGTTCTGTACGATTTCTTTTCAATATTAGCCTTAAGAATTATGATAGTTTACCAGCATGCTTTCGAAGGTAAGAAATAATCCTCACTTTTTATGATTTTAAAAACCAATTTTTTGTTTTACACATTTTGTTTTTGGTATTTTCAGTGAAAACTTAGAAGATATAAAAAAGAAACTAAATCCAGGAGACGTCCAAGCACTATTGAGCGTTATATTTTTGAAACCTGACTGCTCGAAGGTGCAAACAACACTACACTTGTCTCCAGCAATGGAACAAGTTGTTGGAAGCACATCAACATTGCATATACCCGTTTACGGAAAAAAGACTGATCTGGCGGAATATATAACGACTATTAGGAAGATACTGGATGAAAAATTAGAGCAGATTTCAAATCAATTCAAATTAAAGAACGAATACATTAGCGCCGTCTTATCGCTACATCGATACAGTGTATTGGAATATGATAGTCGTTGTTTTAATTTTATCATTATACTGCTTCAAGTAGACGAAATGTATGCACTAGTTCATATTACAATAGGTGAGAAAAAATATGTAAGACAAGGACTTTTCAATTATATGTTTGATGTGATGATTCAAAAAGTGAAATTTTCAATGTTGCAGGAAATGAATTTCCAAAGGAAAAACCGAAAGTTACTTTGAGATCTGTCTGTAAAATGATGATGAATAAACCTTTCGCGATGGAATTGGACGATTATCCTTATAGTCCACGATGGGAACCGAAAGAAATGGTCACAAGACTCATGACAAGACTCCCTGAAGCAATTCCTGAATTCATAAACAGACACAACACTAGATAAACGCAACGCAGTTTTCATCAATTTCAAAAGTATTTTCTGCCTCTTAAGTTCTTACGGATTTTATATAAATTTAAATATGTTGTGATTAAGAAGTAAAAAGTTAATGAAATAAACATTATTAAATCTATTATCATTTTTTTAAGTAATAGTTTAAAACAAGAATTAAATTAACGTATGCAATATTGGGGCAAAACAAAATAGTAAAATACTTCTCTAGATTTTTTTAATATTGAAAAAGTAATAAAAATAAATAACTTCAACTTAATTTAAAAGAAATTTAAATAGATAAAAAATAATAAACGTTACTTTTACTGTGAGTCACTGGACGAGCTACTACTGGAATCTGTAGACATGACCTCCACATCCTCAGTTTCCTGTTTGTGATTACGAGTTTCCACTGGCACACTACCTTGGCCCCCCACACTCATATGTATCTCTCCAGACGGGAGCCAAGCAAACTGATTTTGTTGAGATGCAGGAATGTCTGGAAAAATCATAGTAATATAGTTAATTGTATGGATTATTTTAATAATTAACAGTTCTTATTAATTAATTACCCCCTGTAGCTGGTCCCCCAAGTCTGTGCAAATCTGATATATTATTAGGTTGTTGTAGAAGATGGCCATTAATAGGATCACTTAATCTACCCAAAAATCCAAGTCTCATCTCAATATCTGTAGGATAAGGTCTTCTAGGATCTCCCTGTTGCCATGTGAGTGGGGCACAAACAGCATTAGAGGCACTAATTCGATGTGCAAACTTAATAAGCTCCTCTGAAGACACCGGTCTCTTATTTGCTCTATGTATTGACTGAAGTTTTTGATTTGCTTGATAAATTGCTGTAGAAAGTATTTGCTCAGCTTCTTTAAGTTTTGTTTGTAACTGATTTATGTCTTTATCTCGTCGTTCAACTTCCAATCTTAGTACATCCATTTTTTCTTCAATGTCAGCTTGTTTCTGAGCTAATTTTAAAGTCTGCTTTAACTCTTCGTCTTTTGCAACAAGAAGCTCGGTTAACTGGGCATATTCGGGACCAGAAAGCTTTAAATGCTTGGGAGCAATTGCATTTTCAATAAGTTCTCTAAATAAAATTTAAGGTTAGGAAATGTAAACATGTTAAATTATTTTTAATTACTTACTTTGCTATTAACTCCATGTCGTCCAAAATGTAAAGTAACTTTTCTTTTGTACTTATTTGGGAAGACATTTCAGTTATTTTAGTATTTATAATAACAACAGTACATTTACAAAACAAATTTGAAGTTAAATCAATTTTGACATAAGAAACGTCACCCATAGATCATTAAAAATAATAGGAGTTAACCATAGAAAATCAATAACAAATGTATATACAGGGTGTTTTTCTTAGTTTGCCAAAATTTTACATTTGTCTTAGTTTTTGAACACTAAATTAAACTTTTTTCTCAAAACACAAATAAATTCATTGTAACTATATTAAATACGGTATAACAGGTTTTCAGAAAGAAAACTTGACTTAAATTATTTGTCTAAAGTATTACATAATGAATAATAAATTGTTATGTATATAAAAACATAATAAAAACACAACAAAAGTTGTAACTACGGGTGAGTTAACTCTGAAGCTACCATATATTTACTACTAAAAGAAATTTTTAAATATAATTTGTTTTATTACCACATACAACTTGCACTTGAAATAAGATGTTTGTAGCTTCAAAGGCAGATCACCCATGTTTTTGGCATTAAAACAGGGTTTTAAATGAAACACTCTGTATAAATCTCATTTATATTCAATTACTACTAAATGTATGCCGAACAGGACATTATTTGCAAGTGTGCTCGAACTAATATGAAATTCTCAGTTATCTAGTCAAAACGACTGATTAACACCACCGCCTACCGCAGAAGGGGTGCGGTTCATTTCAAATTAAATAAGACAATTCAATGCACACATGCAACGCGGGTGTGATGGGAAGGAACGAAATAGAATAACAGCAGTTCGTTACTGTGTTTCATATTAGGTGTCTCCAAGAAACAAAAGGAGAAAAACCCGCGCACCAAATAAATTAGTACACAGACAGACAAACACAAACATCACACCTGTACAATCACCACGAAGAATGAGAATGGGGGGCGGGGAAAAAGGACCAAACAAATTTGGCAATCCTTTTTTCATTCTTATTTCCTTTGTTTGCACATTACAATATATATTATATATACGATATTTATTTTGTCTCTTTTTTTGTATTAGATACATTGCAATGATATATGTACTTAACTTTTTTGACTGAGGAAATAGATAAAACGCGGAAGTGTCCTATCATACATATACTTACATGCAACGAGCGTACGAGAAAAAAGGAAAAATTACCACGACAGTAAGTAGTACTTGTTATGTTAATAAAAGTCTTCTTACTTTGCCTAAAATTACATAATACTAATTTTACATTTATATTTTTCAATAAGTTATTACATTTTTTGCATTTTTTCCTCCTGCTTTTTGATAATCATTATCATCAACAGTTCCCAATAAACACTAAATAATTATTAATTATTCGACGTGTATCATAATCAATCATTATTATAATTATTATAATCACCATCTTCGTCTCGTGACCACTTAAATTCTACTAAGAGGCGTCCTCGCCTTCAACATCCAGAAGCGCTACAACACTTTTTTTCTAATCAATATATCAATAACCATATTATTCATATATAAAATAACACTAAAAATATACAAGGCAGTAGACAAGTGTTAGAGAACGACGGAGTGGCCCTCGCTGCTTTCGGCTTGTTTATAATTTTTCCCCATCCTTCTTTTTCATTTTGATAATTAATTTTTTTCCTCTTAAACATTAATACGAACGAACGTTCTTCTTTATTACTATGTTTCGATTAATTTTCCTACGAGTGCTCCTCTCCTTATAAAAAGATAAACGAACGAAATGAACAAAAAAAAATTGCATCGTTCCACATTTTTGAAACATTTACTAAGACGCGCACGCGCACTGAGACACGCGCGTCCTCTGTGCGTAATGGCCCAGGAACAAGTGCGAAACCCAAAACACGAAACAAACAAAAAGGACAAGATAAACGTTGAAACTTAACCTCCATTTAAACACTACTGCTAGTACTGTTTGGCTAACGATAATTACTCTTTTTTGTTTCGTTTTCTTTTATCTTTTTTTTTATCTATTCTTTGACGACGGTGTTCACGGTCTCCTCGTTTTTAGTCGCACCGACAACAACCGTCTGGTCCTTGGTCGCGTCGCCGACGACAGCAACTCCGCCGCCCCCTCCGGCATTGATCGTCGGCGACTTGTTGACCATCGTCGAGGAGTTTGACGTTGCCGAGTTGTTGGTAGCCGCCTCGGTTAGTTTCTCGTCCATCTTGTCGTGCTGCGCGTTGCCCAGGTTCGAACCTGCAAGCCAATCATTCAGTTTCCTAATAAAACCGATTCGAGCTCGTCTCTAGCGGCCCCAGCACCTTCGAAAATCACAAGAGAAAAAAAAGCACTAACTACAATATTCTTTACCGAAAAGATGCACCTAATCGGAGAATTTGTCAGGACACGTCATTAGAACGTGAAAAATAAAACTTTAATGTGTACAACTTTCAATTGGTATTGAAGACAGGATTATGATAAAAAGAAATGACGATAAAAAAATCGCGTTACTTTTATTATAAGTAATTGTTTAAAAATGAAAAGGCTTGATTTACTGAGATTATTAGGATAAATAAATGAGCACATCAAAATAATAAAAATCTGAAACTTTCTGAAATTTAGTATTTTGGTAACATATACGCATGTATTTACCCTGAAAATGTCGTAGGTCGATTCAATGTTATCACCCCAAAGCCTTTGTATATTAATTCTTCTAATAAGAACAGAAAATTAAAAATAAGAAAATGTTTGGATAGTGCATACCTTGAGATCCATAGTAGTGTCTCATTTTCTGGTTTTGATTACTGCTCTTGTGCTTAGGGTTGTTGTTGGTGGGCCCGTTACTGGTCGGCTGTACTGAACCCATAGATGACTGAAAATTCATGGGTCTCTGAATTGGTGTCGGATATCTTTGCATCTACGAAAATTATAGTAAACATTAGTTTACACAACACAGCTTATACTACAATACATATTATAAAATAAAATGATACATACCTGTGCTATTTGCTGTGTGTTGACACTCTGATATAGATTGTATTTGTGTTGAGCAGTGGGACTTGACTGAGGCACAGGCTGTTTCGGATTCTGTTTCGATTTTGGAGACGGGATTTGAGGACCTATATAAAAATAATGAAAATAAAAATAATACTAAGTTGATTATAAAATAAGCAAAACTGACCAGAATTAAAGACTGATGAAAGTACGTCTTGTTGACTCGCGGGACTTTTCAGTTGTCTGGTGCCCTGGTCCCCGACATGCTGCCCAGTCATGCTTTTAATGTATGGGGTCGTGTTAGGCAAGTTCTGGGATCTGTACTGTTGCGCATTCAACGCTGCTGCCGCGGCCAATTGCATGGGGGAGGAGAGAAAGTGCGAACCAAAATTCTGAAGTCCGGCACTTGTGTGAGATTGATTTGGGTTACCAAATATGTTGCCCTGTATCCCGTAACCTGCTGCCTGATGCTGCTGCAACGGACCAGATTGAAGGGCGGAACTCGCCGGCTGCTGGAAGTAACCAGCAGTTTGGCCTCCTGGATAAAAAATAACATAAAACAGAAAAATTATATTTAAAATGTTTCAACTTCTTTAGTAGTAGTGTTTAAACATTTTCTTTCAATATTGCCAATTAAGAATGACTTTAATATTCCATTTTATAGAATAATTAAAAATTAAAAAAAAAAAAACACCACTTCCAATCTCTACTACATTCCCGATTAGAAAAAATAAAGAATAAAACTACCAACAATATATCCTACTATTTATTTCTATAGCATAAATGTTTGGTACATCATATAATAATATGAAAAAACATTTTTCTTTTTGGTATGTTGCTACTAGAATTAATTTCAGTAGAAGGGAAGTAATCTAAATTGTGATAAACATCAGCAGTAGAAGTTACTTAAGTAACCATTTAAGAACAATCACCTTCTATTCAAATTAACCATAAAAAATATTTATAAATAATTAATAGCGCCATTTCAAAACCTAAAATATTTATTAGTCTAAGGATTCTTTAGACTTATTTTACTTTAAAAAAAAATAAGAAATGGAAGTAAACTGTTTACAATGCCACAATAAGATAAATAAGTGCAAAATAAATTAAATAAAAAAAACAAACTTAAGCAATAAAATAAAGCCAGCATGTGCCTGTCAATACACAAAACAATTTCATTTTTACGATTAAGACACGTAAAAAGACAGTGATTAATATTAATAAAGCCCCCTAATTACCACTACTTCTATAACTACTCTCCACATATTCATTCAACCAGAAAAATTAAACAATCACATCACATTATATTTTCTTAAACTGTAGCAGAAGAAAGGAGTATACTAAAAAGAGTTAGTTCATCAATAAAAATATTAAATATACTATTTGTTTTAAATACAAATTTAAAAAAAAATACCAAAATTAAAATACACGTTCAATAAATAATACTTTAATAGATAAACAAGAAAGCTAATACTTCCAAAAGGTAGTGCTATAAATTTTTGGTGTACCTGTTGATCCAGTGTAAAAGGACGATGCGGACGGTTGCAGGGCAGTAACGACGTTGTTCTGCAAGGGACCGTTTGGACCACGCTGAATTACACCCGTGCTGGGCAGGTAACTCGCGGCTTGCATCGTTGGATCGTATGCCATGTATAACTGTTGACCCTGCTGTGATGTCTGCTGATATGCCTGACCCGCGCCTCCTGCTTTTGTACCTTCAAAGTTGCATAAATTAAATAAATAAAGAGGATAAAGGCAATCTACTAACCAATCGCACTAATTTGTTGAGTGCTGGGCTTGACAGTAGCGCTCATGAGAGAATTAGACGTGGAACTGATTAAGACCGTAGTAGGATTGTTTAACTGCTGATTTTGAGCAAAGGGTCCGGTGGCAGATAAACGATAGCTGTTGATATTTGTATAAAGGTCTGGAGGGGGTGGAGGTTGAGCTGCGGGCGGAGGATGCGGTTGCGCTCCTTGTAAATACATCGACTGTGCTGAATAAGGGCTGCTGGCCGTTTGACCAAGACCATATGGGTTCGGATACTGCGAGAACTGGGATCGACCTTGGCTGCCTAACACTTGAGACTGATCTATCTGAAACGTACCGTAGAGACCGCTCTGGGCAGCCGCAGCCTGCAGTTGCTGCGTGGAATTGAACAAAACTGTCGGAGGTGAAGGTATTGCAGACATCCCATACTGGTTGGTACCTCCTACGCTTGGCTGAAAAAGATTATAAGAAATATCGAATACAAAAAAAAAATATGCAATCGAATATTATGGTTCAGTGCTTATTCATAAATAAATACTTCAGTAAGTCAAAATAATTTTATGTGTACCTGATAACCAAGATGCTGGTTAGACGTGTACTGTTGAGGGGGCTGTCCAAGACCGACGCCAGTACCTATCACGGATTGCATGGGAGGTGGGGACAATGGATGGCCTACGATACCTGATCCCACAACACCTGAATGGGGTTGATGAGCACCGGTTGTGTGGATTGTTTGACTCGCGCTACCAGCTATTTGTTGAGTTGGCTTTACCTATAAAATTATAAGCAATTAATGAGGCAAGAGAAAGCTTATTTTCTGATGATAAACATTTACTTTACACACGTTTGTCGTGGTATTATTTGTGACTGTTTGATTAGGGGACGCGTTGTATCGTTCGTGCCCATCCTCGCCTTCTGCCGTTTTGTTGACAAAGGCTGTAGAGCCGTCCAGGGCTCCAGTGTCTGCACCAAACGATGTAGAAAATCCGGCAGAGGCTGCCGTGTTCGGGTCATCTTGGGCCACGACTACATTATGTTCCATAACAGTGGGCATTGACTCCCATACCTTTTTTACAGATGCAATTTTGAAATTCAATGCATCTGCAGTTGATATCGTATTATTAACGCTTGTTATCGTATGTATAGACCTCGAAAGACCTCCCAAATTTTTGGAGTTCTTATTGTCTTCTGTTAAATGTGTTAGTTCTGATTCAAAGAAGTCCAATTTCATGTCTGCAGTGTCTTCTTTGGTGAAGGCTAATTGCATTTGAATGGTAGTCGCGTCCACCTGCTGTTGTTGAGGCTGTTGCTGTTGTTTGTCACCCTTATTGTTCAAAAGATCCCTAATGGGTTTATTAAAGGTGGACATTACAGCTGAATTGTCGATGACCACACTTTCCTCCAATTTACATGGTTTTTCATTGCGCCTTGCACCTGGAGCTGATTTGAAGTTAGTATTTTCGAAAATAATCGTGTTAACAGGTGGTGTGGCACCGTCCAAAACTGGTTTCTCACCTAAGTGATTATTTTGCACGACTTTGTCCATGCTTTGACTTGGTGATTGTTGTTGCTGCTGCGATTGCTCTGGGTTTTTTGTACACTCTAAACCATCTGATTCGACTCGTAATTTATTCCACGCACTGGACAGAGCTCCGCCGGCATCTAACATATTTAAGTTATGACTAACTTTGTTTATATCGTCACAAATAATTCCAGACTGTTGTTGCTGTTGTTGGGGAGGTTGGTGATGATTTATCTGGACCTTTTGCAGTCGTTGCCTGACGAAACGAGGGGGTAACTTGTTTTGGCGGTTACGCTCGAATTTATCCTTATTGAGCTGAGCAAGCATTGGTTGAGGGGGATTCACTGGAGTGTCCATCAGGGATGGAATGTTCGCCACCTGCTGCGCGAGAGGAAACTGAGACTGTTGTTGGGATGATGGTAATGCAGGCCCGGGTTTCTTCAACGTTTTGTCTTTACGATCATCCCCAAGTTTACTTCCAAGTTTTGAAGGAATTTTCTCATCTCCAGACTTCGGTCTCTGCAGATTCTTTTTGCTCTTGACTTCTTGAAAACCGTCTGTGTCTTTTTCATCTTTCTGGTCGCCACCTGTTTGATCGTCTTGACTTTTTGTCTTTTCGTCTTTTATACTTGGTTGTCGTGAACCATCTGGTCTAACACGATAATCGGGACGTCCTGAATTATTTCTTCTCTGGGAAGAAGTCCTAGCGGACAACGTTTTAGACAAATGTTTCGATTTATCCTTTGAATTCTCTTCTGAATTGTCGGATGTTTCGCAATTCTCTTCGCTACCTTCTTTCGGTTTTCTACCTTTGTTCCTTCGACTGTTTGAAGATCCTCTAGATTTATTACCCTCCAATTTATCTTCACTTTTTGATTTGAATGAGTCTTTATTTCGATTGCTGCCTATTACTCCAGCACTATTCTGCATTTTATTATCTTCAGATTCAGAGATATTGTCGCTCTTTTTGTTTGTTTCTTTTTCGTCCAAATGACTAAAAGGACTTTTCGAGGGTGGAGGTCCGTAGCCATCGATGCGTCTCGATATTCCTCCACGCCCACCGCTGCTTCTAAACTGTGAAGATCCGCGTCCGTGTCGCGAAGGCTCGCCCCTTGGGGTGTAATTATCTCTTTTATTAGAGTCTTTGTCGCTTCTTTCGAATCTGTTTTCCTTATTTTTTTCATCCTTAGAGCTAATTTTTCTAGACATTTTTGGGCTTCTCTTTTCGTCGCGTATGCTTTCAGATGAAATTTCATCGGCAGAAGCGTCAGATTCGGTGTGAAGCCAATCTGAAGGTCCTTTACTCAACGCAGAAGACTTTTTCATACCACCGAATCGTGATCCAGCTCCGCTGGCGCCTCCACGTCTCGAGTCGTTTCGTTTCCACGTGTTACGATAAACATAAGGACCACCAGTACTCCATCCGCGAGGATCTTGACGCCTCCTGTTACTTGACCCATGAGATTTACCATCTTCTTTATCCTTATCAGAATTTACTTTTTGAGGTTTACTGTTATCAGAGTCCGTGTTAATTTCGTGTCTGTCTTTTTCGTTTCCTGAATCTTTCCCTGTTATCGTTTTCTCTTCTGTTTTTGTATCGTTTTGTTTTCCGGAATCTGTAGCCCAATCTTTCGATTCCTTTTCTTCTTCCTTTACAATTTTCTCTGGTGTTTTTTCTTTTTCAATGGGTTTTTCTATTATCATGCCCCTTTTTAATTGCGTGAGCCCTTTGTCGTTTTTATAATCTTCAGCTTCAACACGTTCTTTCGTTATTGGTCCTGGGACTACCCGGGACCGCTCTTCCCTTGTGTAAACGTTTTCTTTACGCTTTTTGTCAAAAGTGGGATCAAATGGTGAGTCCGCCCACGAAGACGACGACGTATGGTAGTCAAAGTCCCGATTCGATTCCCGGGAATGTCTCGAGTCCCTGGAAGCCCTCGAGTCTCTACTGTCGGGTCTCTGTGGTCTTTCATATTTCTCGCCGTATCTGTCTTCTTTCTCGTACTTATCTCTCCATTCATCAGACGTAACGTGATGCATTTGAAGTTCTTCGAAAATGTCCTGATTGCTACTTCTTTTAGGTAGCTTCTCTTTTTCCAACGACTCTTTCTCTTTTTCCCATGCAATGCTGCTTTCTTCTCGCCCTTTGTCCCGTTTATTATCGTCTTCGCTGTACTTTCCACCAGACTTTGCTGTATCTGAGTCATAGTACGAATTAAAGTTGGAATATGAAGGTAANTACAAAACAAATTTGAAGTTAAATCAATTTTGACATAAGAAACGTCACCCATAGATCATTAAAAATAATAGGAGTTAACCATAGAAAATCAATAACAAATGTATATACAGGGTGTTTTTCTTAGTTTGCCAAAATTTTACATTTGTCTTAGTTTTTGAACACTAAATTAAACTTTTTTCTCAAAACACAAATAAATTCATTGTAACTATATTAAATACGGTATAACAGGTTTTCAGAAAGAAAACTTGACTTAAATTATTTGTCTAAAGTATTACATAATGAATAATAAATTGTTATGTATATAAAAACATAATAAAAACACAACAAAAGTTGTAACTACGGGTGAGTTAACTCTGAAGCTACCATATATTTACTACTAAAAGAAATTTTTAAATATAATTTGTTTTATTACCACATACAACTTGCACTTGAAATAAGATGTTTGTAGCTTCAAAGGCAGATCACCCATGTTTTTGGCATTAAAACAGGGTTTTAAATGAAACACTCTGTATAAATCTCATTTATATTCAATTACTACTAAATGTATGCCGAACAGGACATTATTTGCAAGTGTGCTCGAACTAATATGAAATTCTCAGTTATCTAGTCAAAACGACTGATTAACACCACCGCCTACCGCAGAAGGGGTGCGGTTCATTTCAAATTAAATAAGACAATTCAATGCACACATGCAACGCGGGTGTGATGGGAAGGAACGAAATAGAATAACAGCAGTTCGTTACTGTGTTTCATATTAGGTGTCTCCAAGAAACAAAAGGAGAAAAACCCGCGCACCAAATAAATTAGTACACAGACAGACAAACACAAACATCACACCTGTACAATCACCACGAAGAATGAGAATGGGGGGCGGGGAAAAAGGACCAAACAAATTTGGCAATCCTTTTTTCATTCTTATTTCCTTTGTTTGCACATTACAATATATATTATATATACGATATTTATTTTGTCTCTTTTTTTGTATTAGATACATTGCAATGATATATGTACTTAACTTTTTTGACTGAGGAAATAGATAAAACGCGGAAGTGTCCTATCATACATATACTTACATGCAACGAGCGTACGAGAAAAAAGGAAAAATTACCACGACAGTAAGTAGTACTTGTTATGTTAATAAAAGTCTTCTTACTTTGCCTAAAATTACATAATACTAATTTTACATTTATATTTTTCAATAAGTTATTACATTTTTTGCATTTTTTCCTCCTGCTTTTTGATAATCATTATCATCAACAGTTCCCAATAAACACTAAATAATTATTAATTATTCGACGTGTATCATAATCAATCATTATTATAATTATTATAATCACCATCTTCGTCTCGTGACCACTTAAATTCTACTAAGAGGCGTCCTCGCCTTCAACATCCAGAAGCGCTACAACACTTTTTTTCTAATCAATATATCAATAACCATATTATTCATATATAAAATAACACTAAAAATATACAAGGCAGTAGACAAGTGTTAGAGAACGACGGAGTGGCCCTCGCTGCTTTCGGCTTGTTTATAATTTTTCCCCATCCTTCTTTTTCATTTTGATAATTAATTTTTTTCCTCTTAAACATTAATACGAACGAACGTTCTTCTTTATTACTATGTTTCGATTAATTTTCCTACGAGTGCTCCTCTCCTTATAAAAAGATAAACGAACGAAATGAACAAAAAAAAATTGCATCGTTCCACATTTTTGAAACATTTACTAAGACGCGCACGCGCACTGAGACACGCGCGTCCTCTGTGCGTAATGGCCCAGGAACAAGTGCGAAACCCAAAACACGAAACAAACAAAAAGGACAAGATAAACGTTGAAACTTAACCTCCATTTAAACACTACTGCTAGTACTGTTTGGCTAACGATAATTACTCTTTTTTGTTTCGTTTTCTTTTATCTTTTTTTTTATCTATTCTTTGACGACGGTGTTCACGGTCTCCTCGTTTTTAGTCGCACCGACAACAACCGTCTGGTCCTTGGTCGCGTCGCCGACGACAGCAACTCCGCCGCCCCCTCCGGCATTGATCGTCGGCGACTTGTTGACCATCGTCGAGGAGTTTGACGTTGCCGAGTTGTTGGTAGCCGCCTCGGTTAGTTTCTCGTCCATCTTGTCGTGCTGCGCGTTGCCCAGGTTCGAACCTGCAAGCCAATCATTCAGTTTCCTAATAAAACCGATTCGAGCTCGTCTCTAGCGGCCCCAGCACCTTCGAAAATCACAAGAGAAAAAAAAGCACTAACTACAATATTCTTTACCGAAAAGATGCACCTAATCGGAGAATTTGTCAGGACACGTCATTAGAACGTGAAAAATAAAACTTTAATGTGTACAACTTTCAATTGGTATTGAAGACAGGATTATGATAAAAAGAAATGACGATAAAAAAATCGCGTTACTTTTATTATAAGTAATTGTTTAAAAATGAAAAGGCTTGATTTACTGAGATTATTAGGATAAATAAATGAGCACATCAAAATAATAAAAATCTGAAACTTTCTGAAATTTAGTATTTTGGTAACATATACGCATGTATTTACCCTGAAAATGTCGTAGGTCGATTCAATGTTATCACCCCAAAGCCTTTGTATATTAATTCTTCTAATAAGAACAGAAAATTAAAAATAAGAAAATGTTTGGATAGTGCATACCTTGAGATCCATAGTAGTGTCTCATTTTCTGGTTTTGATTACTGCTCTTGTGCTTAGGGTTGTTGTTGGTGGGCCCGTTACTGGTCGGCTGTACTGAACCCATAGATGACTGAAAATTCATGGGTCTCTGAATTGGTGTCGGATATCTTTGCATCTACGAAAATTATAGTAAACATTAGTTTACACAACACAGCTTATACTACAATACATATTATAAAATAAAATGATACATACCTGTGCTATTTGCTGTGTGTTGACACTCTGATATAGATTGTATTTGTGTTGAGCAGTGGGACTTGACTGAGGCACAGGCTGTTTCGGATTCTGTTTCGATTTTGGAGACGGGATTTGAGGACCTATATAAAAATAATGAAAATAAAAATAATACTAAGTTGATTATAAAATAAGCAAAACTGACCAGAATTAAAGACTGATGAAAGTACGTCTTGTTGACTCGCGGGACTTTTCAGTTGTCTGGTGCCCTGGTCCCCGACATGCTGCCCAGTCATGCTTTTAATGTATGGGGTCGTGTTAGGCAAGTTCTGGGATCTGTACTGTTGCGCATTCAACGCTGCTGCCGCGGCCAATTGCATGGGGGAGGAGAGAAAGTGCGAACCAAAATTCTGAAGTCCGGCACTTGTGTGAGATTGATTTGGGTTACCAAATATGTTGCCCTGTATCCCGTAACCTGCTGCCTGATGCTGCTGCAACGGACCAGATTGAAGGGCGGAACTCGCCGGCTGCTGGAAGTAACCAGCAGTTTGGCCTCCTGGATAAAAAATAACATAAAACAGAAAAATTATATTTAAAATGTTTCAACTTCTTTAGTAGTAGTGTTTAAACATTTTCTTTCAATATTGCCAATTAAGAATGACTTTAATATTCCATTTTATAGAATAATTAAAAATTAAAAAAAAAAAAACACCACTTCCAATCTCTACTACATTCCCGATTAGAAAAAATAAAGAATAAAACTACCAACAATATATCCTACTATTTATTTCTATAGCATAAATGTTTGGTACATCATATAATAATATGAAAAAACATTTTTCTTTTTGGTATGTTGCTACTAGAATT